GAACTCAAGATCACAAAACAATGTGATTCAACGTTGAAATACCTCTTATTTTAATAAATCCTATAAAAGTGCTTCTATTTGATTCGAGGAAAAAGCAAGGCCAATAACCATCCACCTAAAACCCCATTTAAGGCTCTAATTCTGAATAATGCTCTCGTTCTTCCGATAGTCAAAATGTCTGAGTATGGAAGCCCTGAATGGCCGTATCTCAAACTCTTTATTCCCTCTCCTGTGCTAATGGATGAGCTAAGGTCATTTGTATTTACATTTAACAGCTGCAATGATTAAATGTCCACTATTTAAATAACTGCAAGCTTATTTTAATAATAATTAGGGTCTGAGACCATAGGTCGGCGAAGACCCTATTGAAATCGGTCGCGCAGCGACCGATAAACCTGCTAAAAACACCCAAAAACAGGGAAAACGACCGACAAAAGCACAGAAAAGGTTCGGAAATAGTGACGGCAGATAGTCCGCGCGAGCCCACTCACGTGGGCGAAGCCCACGTGAGTGCAACTCGCATAATTAATATCGTTACGATCAATTTAGTCGCTCGCGAAGCGAGCGATAACCATGCAAAACCCACTAAAAACAGGGAAAAAGACGGGTAAAAGCCCATTAAAAGTGGCCTAAATCATGACAGTAGGTAGGCCAACGGCCTACAGTGACGTGGGCGTAGCCCACGTCACTGTAAACGAGCACATTATTGATATTGGTCCGATTATTATTATTATTATTATTATTATTATCGCACGCACTTTTGAGCCCCGCCACATATGTGAAAACTCACCAAGTTTCGCACGCACGTCAGAAGTGCGCAAAATTTTTATATTTAATTGGTCCCGGAACTTAACGTTAAAAATTGCGTAGGCCACGCCCACTTCCGCTTAGATCGTACAGCCGGCAACTTTAACTTTCACGTAAACAAACGAAACTCGCTACGCATATCTAGGGTGCGGAGACGAACAAAAAAGCCTCTTGGAGGGGTATAAAATAACGTACAGGAAGTCGGCCATTTTGAATTTGGCGTCGGAAAAACGCGATTTATCGCGTTTTTCGTCCTCCACGCAAAATCTATCTTCTCCCAGGAACTTTATCCGTACGACTCGAAATTCTTCGGGTAGCATCTCGAGACATGGGCAATTAAAAGTTATCACGGAAGTTTTTTTCTTTCGCACAGCGCAGCCGTTATTTGGCGCCAAAGTTCGCGTTCGCTCGATGCTAGGCCCATCAAACGCCATGGCCATGGAATACGATGATGTCATAACACCAACTGACATGCTCACAACGCCACCAAACATCACAATGTTGTCTTAAGTCAATGGAAAATGGTCCAATCTACACCAGACTTCAGATGACAGTTAATGGTCCGGCCCTCAACACATTAATATGACAAAAGTGAGTTTTCCTCAAAAGCTGTTGCCATGGCAACAAATCCCTCGCCATAAAACACGGTGTCGCTGTAAATCCAATGGACACGGTCCCATCGTCCCCCAACCTTCACTTTTATATCACTGGTCCATGACTCAACAACTCTACGTGAAATCTGAGATCTCACCGTATGCCGTTTCCATGGCAACGCATTCCTCGCCGTAAAACACGGTGTCGCTGTAAATTCAATCGACACGGTCCCATCGTCCCCCAACCTTCACTTTTATATCACTGGTCCATGACTCAACAGCTCTACGCGAAATTTGAGATCTCACCGTATGCCGTTTCCATGGCAACGCATTCCTCGCCATAAAACACGGTGTCGCTGTAAATCCAATGGACGTGGTCCCATCGTCCGCCAATCTTCACTTTTATATCACTGGTCCATGACTCAACAGCTCTACGTGAAATCTGAGATCTCACCGTATGCCGTTTCCATGGCAACGCATCCCACGCCGTAAAACACGATGTTGTCTTAATTCAATGGAAAAGGTTCCAAACTGCACCAGACTTCAGATGACAGTTAATGGTCCGGCCCTCAACAGCTCTATGTGAAATCTGAGATCTCACCGTATGCCGTTTCCATGGCAACGCATCCCACGCCGTAAAACACGATGTTGTCTTAAATCAATGGAAAAGGTTCCAAACTGCACCAGACTTCAGATGACAGTTAATGGTCCGGCCCTCAACACATTAATAGGACAAAAGTGAGTTTTCCCCAAAAGCTGTTGCCATGGCAACGAATCCCTCGCCATAAAACACGGTGTCGCTGTAAATCCAATGGACACGGTCCCATCGTCCCCCAATCTTCACTTTTATATTACTGATCCATGACTCAACAGCTCTACGCGAAATTTGAGATCTCACCGTATGCCGTTTCCATGGCAACGCATTCCTCGCCATAAAACACGGTGTCGCTGTAAATCCAATCGACACGGTCCCATCGTCCCACAATCTTCACTTTTATATCACTGCTCCATGACTCAACAGCTCTACGTGAAATCTGAGATCTCACCGTATGCCGTTTCCATGGCAACGCATCACTCGCCAAAAAACACGAAGTTGTCTTAAGTCAATGGAAAAGCTTCCAAACTGCACCAGACTTCAGATGACAGTTAATGGTCCGGCCCTCAACAGCACTATGCGAATTATGGGATGTCATCATATGCCGTTTCCATGGCAACGAATCACTCGCCATAAAACACGATGTTGTCCTAACTCACTGGAAAAACGTCCAAACGGCACCAGACATCAGATGATGGCTAATGGTCCGGCCCTCAACACATCTAGGCGTATTATGGGGTGTCATCAAATTCCGTTGCCATGGCGACAGATCACTCGCCATCAAACACAATGTTTATGATACTGCTGTAACTCCCATTTACGTTGTCCGATCGGCCTGAAACTTCCCACGTTTGCCAACGGCCGAGTCCGGAAAACTCCTGCATGATACCTCGACGTGCGGACAACAGCCTGCGGAGCGTCGAAGACCCGCTCAACGCTGCTTGCAGCTTTAATTTAAGTTGATATCAGATTTGAATATGGTTAATATTTATCTAATTTCTTTACTCCTGTCACTGTAACCTGAATATGAATACAGATTGTTTAATGTGATCCGTCTGTAAGGAAGCCTTGAACGGCCTTGTTTAGTTCTTTATATTAACATTCACTTATGATAAATTAATAAGGCTCATTTTGATTTTCAGATTACAATAGCAAATATTAAATCAACTGCCAGCTATTTTAAATGGGGCCTATAATGCAAAATGCACTTTGTGATGTCTTTGATACATAACTATGTGTCCCCAGTGCGTCGGGGAACTCACGCAGCGTCAGGAAATAGACCCTCTCTCTTTTCCTCCGTACTAACATCTTTTAAAAACGGGGGTTCAACGAGCGGATACAGATGTGCTGCCGATATGACGTAATTTCGGATGGTGGACCCACAGCACTATCAGAAACAATGCCTGACATGTTTTGGACGTAATCTCGTCTTTGTTTACATTAGCAAGCCTCGCTAACACTCAGAGCTAACCTGTACTGGAGAGCACGTGTTTAAAAAGCAGGACATACAGAAAGGAACTCACCTTGTGATAAACCCGCAAGAGAAAAAGCATTTGAGCTCCATACTGTTTCAGGAATAATCCTTGATGTGGTTTAGAACAGGATGGCGTTTTATCACCGCAGAATTTAATTGTATCTCCGGTATAATTCTGATCAGGCATTAGCTCCGCCGCCTCTTTTTATTTTTTCAAGCTAAAGACCCAAAATCTGCGTTTCTCTAACAGCTGGAATAGAGGGATATGAGGGATTTCTAAAATTCATGATCTGTTTGTATTTTGAGTAAAACACTTCACAGACATGTTTGTATCTGAGACTCATCATATATGCCTACAAATAGCATGATAGCTGCACTTTAATAATTATTTAACCACCTCGGGGTGTTTCTTCTCTACGATGGGAAACTAAATATACTTTATTTTAGACAATCTAATCCTGCATTTGGGGAAACAGATTGATTGATGGATTCATTTAGAAAACAATGAGTGATTAATAGAGAATGACAGTCAGTGATAAACGAATAAGAAAAGAACGAAAGACCGGACGGAAGAACAAACGTACAAAATAAATAAAGAACGAACGAAAGATGTACAGGACGAACGAACGAAAGACCGAAAGAACGAAGGACCGGACGGAAGAAAGATTTCTAAATGAACTGCCAGCTATTTTAATAATTATTTAACCAGCTGGGAACTTCTCTACGACGGGAAACTAAATATACTTCATTAGTATTATTTTATGTAAAGCGTCTCTGAGCATCAAAATCCTGTGTACTAAAAGTAGAAGTACTCAGATCTTGAGTAAAAGTAGAAGTACTCAGATCTTGAGTAAAAGTAGAAGTACTCAGATCTTGAGTAAAAGTAGAAGTACTCAGATCTTGAGTAAAAGTAGAAGTACTCAGATCTTGTACTTGAGTAAAAGTAGAAGTACTCAGATCTTGAGTAAAAGTAGAAGTACTCAGATCTTGAGTAAAGTAGAAGTACTCAGATCTTGAGTAAAAGTAGAAGTACTCAGATCTTGTACTTGAGTAAAAGTAGAAGTACTCAGATCTTGAGTAAAAGTAGAAGTACTCAGATCTTGAGTAAAAGTAGAAGTACTCAGATCTGAGTAAAAGTAGAAGTACTCAGATCTTGAGTAAAAGTAGAAGTACTCAGATCTTGAGTAAAAGTAGAAGTACTCAGATCTTGAGTAAAAGTAGAAGTACTCGGATCTTGTACTAGAGTAAAAGTAGAAGTACTCGGATCTTGTACTAGAGTAAAAGTAGAAGTACTCAGATCTTGTACTTGAGTAAAAGTAGAAGTACTCAGATCTTGTACTTGAGTAAAAGTAGAAGTACTCAGATCTTGAGTAAAAGTAGAAGTACTCAGATCTTGAGTAAAAGTAGAAGTACTCAGATCTTGAGTAAAAGTAGAAGTACTCGGATCTTGTACTAGAGTAAAAGTAGAAGTACTCGGATCTTGTACTAGAGTAAAAGTAGAAGTACTCAGATCTTGTACTTGAGTAAAAGTAGAAGTACTCAGATCTTGTACTTGAGTAAAAGTAGAAGTACTCGGATCTTGTACTAGAGTAAAAGTAGAAGTACTCAGATCTTGTACTAGAGTAAAAGTAGAAGTACTCGGATCTTGTACTTGAGTAGAAGTACTCAGATCTTGAGTAAAAGTAGAAGTACTCAGATCTTGTACTAGAGTAAAAGTAGAAGTACTCAGATCTTGTACTAGAGTAAAAGTAGAAGTACTCGGATCTTGTACTTGAGTAGAAGTACTCGGATCTTGTACTAGAGTAAAAGTAGAAGTACTCGGATCTTGAGTAAAAGTAGAAGTACTCAGATCTTGTACTAGAGTAAAAGTAGAAGTACTCGGATCTTGTACTAGAGTAGAAGTACTCGGATCTTGTACTAGAGTAAAAGTAGAAGTACTCGGATCTTGTACTAGAGTAAAAGTAGAAGTACTCGGATCTTGTACTAGAGTAGAAGTACTCGGATCTTGTACTAGAGTAAAAGTAGAAGTACTCGGATCTTGTACTTAATAAAAAATATTATATCCAATATAAACCAAACACTATAAAATATTCTGAGTAATTAAAGTCAAAGTCAAAAATACAACAGGACTTTTATAAGAAAGGAGAAACTCTGGGCAAAAAAACTCATATCTGATATTTATTAATTGATTGGAAATGTATCATTTATACGTTTTGGCCCCTGATCACGGGGCCCCGTCTGATGAAGGAATCAGAAAGCATGAAACAGCTGCAACATGTAAACCATGTTACTGTGCTAACTTTGCGTACCACACAACAACAACAACAACAATAACCAGTGTTGGGTTAGTTACTCAAAGAAAGATGCATTACACCCGACTAGCTCCTTTTTGGGGAGTGTAGCACGAGAGAAAAGGGACGCTTTATTTATTTTTCTATCCTCCCGTTATGCAGGGAACGAGATAATTGATAACAACAAAAGCACTGTTTGGAGATGTAAACAAACCCCCCTTCCCTGAAACTGTGTGCACATAGAAACATTTATTTTATGATTGACCTTCAAACTTAGCTTCAGAATAAAGGGGACACATTTCACTGTCGCACCGCTAGAGCACACTTTGACACTTTTTCAACTTTATTGACGTATATGAACGATTTATATCATACGGTATTAAGTTCACGCTGTACGGTATGAAGCGGTATATCGCCCAAATGTAATATATATTTTAATATATACAAATATAATAGAAGTTACTTATAACGGCAGACATGATTTAAAGGAGCAGCCGAGTAAAGGGACGGAATTAATAAGCATTTGTTTCCTCTTGATTCTATTCGGACAATAACCCTTCAGTCAGGAGAGACGTGTTGATGGAAGAATACATATTTATTGCCAGGAATACACAAATGAATGTAATGGAGTTTTGGCGATTAGGCCCTGTTGTGCAGGAGTATCATTCGGGAGGGGAGAACCAATCCGATGAAAACCCCCCGGGGTCTAGACACTGGTAGTGGTGAATGGATGGTTGGGTTCGATCTGAAGGGGAGGGGCTTAGCTTGACCCTGGATTCAGAGGGAGGGGAGAACCGATTCGATGAAACCCCCCGGGGTCTAGACCCTGTTGGTGGTGAATGGATGGTTGGGTTCGGACTGAGTAGTGAGAGGAGGGGCTTAGCTTCCCCCTGGATCCAGAGGGACAGGAGGTGAAAGGGGGGGGAGGAGGGTTGCGTCGAGTCACCTGAAATGACAGCTGACGGAGGAGAGAGCAGATTTAAAAGGTTTAGCGGAGCGCTATCAGGGCTCGACAGTAACGGTTGCCAGGTTGCCATTGGCAACCATTCAGAAAAAATGTCAACCACTTCTTGGCCTTTGGTTGCCATCAGTGGCAACCACTTTTTAACATCAAGAAATAAGGACAGCAAAATGTGCACCCCAACAGAGATAAATGTTAATTATTTGATGTTGCCCGTGCATTGGTGTGATGACGGAGCCAGAAAGCGGTTTACTCGCGTGCGCCGTGTGTTTGTTTTACAAAAAATTGAATGAACCCGAACGAAAAGCAAAGGGGAAATGAGTAAAGTCTTGGGAGGCGAAACATTCTGCTCCGTTGTGCATTCACTTCTGGTAAAAGTTCCTTCAAAATAAGAGTCCCGATCTTATTACTACCAAAATAAAAGTGCAAAACGAAACTTTACCATCGAAAAATATTGGCATGCGGTCAATATGTTCATTTGTAGTTGCCAGCGATTCTCTAGTTTAGCGTACTCAGCCCGGTTGTTGGCCCGGAAAGAACCTCGATTTTGGAGAGCCAGAAAAAGTACCTGCCTCAGTTTCGCCGCGGCGAGGCTCCGGCGCTCGCAGTTCACGCGCGTGCTCCCCCCCCCCCCCCCCCCCCCCCCCCCCCCCCGCTCATTACGTTCAAATTGCGCACGTTCCGTGTTGTCCTGTAGCAGGCACCGCCGATGTCGGGGAAACTATCTTCAATACTCCGAAAATAATCCCACCAGACTCCTTTGCCCCAACAGAGGGATGGCCTTTTTCTTTTCGTTATTTCAAGCGATTAAAACTCTTGATCTTCTCTCGGATTATTAATATTTTTGGACGGCAAGACGCCCCGCTGGCGGAAACGCTCTTGTGTTTTGTCCCCTCTCTCCTGCAGCTAATGAATATATAAAATAAATAAAAATCCTGTGTTCAACCAAAAACTGTTTTCTGATCAACATTCTGTTGGAAGTCGTCTAAATGTTTCTCTGACTCTAACCCTCCTGTGTTTTGTCCCCTCTCTCCTGCAGCTGATAGTTTGAGCCTCAGTCGATCATGATCCTGCTGACTCCCTCCTCCGGTACGTTCTCCTCATAATCTGGATTACTGATTACTGATCATTATGTTTAAAGCCTCGGTCACTCGGGGACACGAGAGCCAGACCATCATTAACGTGACCGGGCAGATTACACATGCAATTCAGAGTTAAAACACTATGCATTATGTGCAGGTATGCATCGTTTAATGTCAAATAAGTGGTTTAAATATGTGTTAAAATGTACTTATATTGGGTTGTTTATTATAACTGAATGTTTTTATTGTTGATTTGTATATTTTGTGAGTTAATCTCCAGATTCACAAGGTGTAAGATTGACTTGTATGTATTCTTTGTTGTATGCAATATCCCCTGATTTGAAAGCATCTTAGTTTAAACAGTTTATTTCCACCTCAGTTCATCCTGTTTGCCCTTGTTTAGTCTCGTTAGTCGTTACCAGGTAACATCGCACAGCGCTGCATAATAACAAGGGCTTTCCCACAATGCATTGCAGCCATTAGGCAGCCTGCCAGACGCTGCTTGAAATCTGACTCTTTTGTCCGAGACAGAGTGCAGACTTTTCTCTCAGCTGCACATTCTTTGTTAGGTAGAAACTTTGCAGTATTTGAAGACAAAGTATCAGCGTGCTCTCTGCAGTGTCTGACGCTGTGGGAGAGTAGAGAGCATGCTCTGAACAAGTGTTGGTTGTTTTTGGCTTTCTGCTGTGTCTCATCCGCTGTTTTCTTTCAGATGTCTTGAACTCGCCTGGCTTTGGAATCACAGGAAGTTCAGGGTGAAAACACTTGAAGGGTTGCTATATAACTGCAAAATTTATAAAAAGAAAAATCATTTATCTGTGCATTCTGTCTTGGGGCAGCACTATGACTTCATACTGCTTATTTATCTCAAACAACCACATGTATCAAGTTTAAAGAGTTCCTATTCTGCTTTTTTATGGTGTTACCCATCCCTTTAGAGTGTACTGATATACACCTGAACATCAGCAGGAGAGGACTCTTTAAAGTAGAGACACTACATACTGATATACACCTGAACATCAGCAGGAGAGGACTCTTTAAAGTAGAGACACTACATACTGATATACACCTGAACATCAGCAGGAGAGAGGACTCTTTAAAGTAGAGACACTACATACTGATATACACCTGAACATCAGCAGGAGAGGACTCTTTAAAGTAGAGACACTACATACTGATATACACCTGAACATCAGCAGGAGAGGACTCTTTAAAGTAGAGACACTACATACTGATATACACCTGAACATCAGCAGGAGAGGACTCTTTAAAGTAGAGACACTACATACTGATATACACCTGAACATCAGCAGGAGAGGACTCTTTAAAGTAGAGGACAGGGACTCTTTAAAGCAAATGCACTTAGTAATTAATCCCAATTGGAGAGTTAACCCCTTGCAGTTTAGTGTTTATAGCAGATTACACCAGGATGTTTAACGCAGGGCTGCAGTGGATTCAATAGATTATTATTCGTATTATTATTAATTGATTAACGAGGTGTGATCAGCTGACCTTCGCTCCGGTTCGTTTCTCGCAGTAGTTCCAGCTCTCTGTGTTTTTGTTTAGTCCCCTCTGTACCCAAAACCAGTATCTGTGTGTGTGTGTGTTTCACTCCCAGTAAGATTTCGCTAAGCGCTAAAAACGTCCCGTTCACCGTCCGAAAACTGTATCCTTTTTGGTGTCTTCTACTCTGCAAATATCATCTCTTGATTTTAGGGCTGCACAGTTATTCAAATATTAATATCTATCACGATTTTAGCAGCGATTTTGACGTCTAAAATGCGTGCTCCGGTCGTACATGTATATGTTTATTAAGGTAATAAACAACAGACAGGCAAAATGATTGAGGTGTAAAGAACTGTTTTTATGCAGGACTTTAAAGCATTTTTTTTAAAGCAGTTACAAATAATCGTGATTATTCTTTTGGCCATAATCGTGCAGCCCTAACTGATACTGAAGTGTAATGCATGCTGAGTAAAGCTACACAAATGTATAACAATGTTTATTGCATAGACATGTCTAAGTGATAATGAGACACTCTGTCATTTTGCATGCTGTGACTGCGAATGAACGAATACAGTAACGTACAAAAAATGCATTTTAGTGATCTGAAAGTGGATGAATGAATCGTAAAGGTCGGTCTGCGTCCAAAAAACAAAGTCTTGGTAAGTGATGCTTCTTTTAATTTGAAAAGGAGAATCTGATGTAAAGTAATATGTTGATTTAAATGCAAAGAGGAGAAGAAATACAGCTACAACATCCCGTAGCATGGAGACAGATACTATATGACTGCATTGAGATAATGTTATGTGACTCAAACTGGGATTTTCCCATTCGGACTCTTTTATGGAGAGGTCAGCTGGTATGGTATCGGGTCATTTAGCCGTTAGCGTTAGAGTTTTTTGTTTTGCCCCGACGCCGTCTAACTTCCGCTCTTTTCTCAGGTTTCTTTCAGTGCACCAACAAGATCTTCCTGACGGACGAAGCGACAGGACAGCAGATCAAGGAATTCGCTCGTAAAAATGCAGCGAACGCTCTGTCGATAGCCAACATGGTGATGGGCATGGCGTCCATCCTGAGCAGCCTGCAGGGGTGAGAACAAGCTCCATTTACTATTTATTCATATCTGAAGCATCATTCAGGCGGGATCTAAAGCTTGGTCGTAATCATTCAAAATCTCCCTTTTCAGTAAACAAACAAACAACCAGAGCAAAGGTTTTATGGAGAATGAAAGATGTGGTTCGTTAGTTCATTAAAGCACATTGAGAATGAGCTTGTCTTTAAAGCACATTGAGAATGAGCTTGTCTTTAAAGCACATTGAGAATGAGCTTGTCTTTAAAGCACATTGAGAATGAGCTTGTCACTATGTTTTTTGGGTTGTGCAGCCATTAGCCAATCAGCAACCAAGGTGACAAACCTAAAATATAGGGGATAGTATTTCAGGATCTGGCTAGAGTTTAAAGGCAAAGTTAGTAGTTATAGTGACTTTGAGGGAAAGCATACGCGCAAAACACATATTTTAACATATTTAGAAACCACTACATTTAGTTGACTTCATTTTGAAGAAGAAAGGACAAAATGTGGACTGAAAAATGAAGTTTGTGCTTATATTGTCCCCTAAGGGCCACCATACTTACTAAAATGAGGCCCTCCACTGATCCTCAACTGATATAAAATGATTGCATGGCTTTGTTTGTTTTTATTTGAACGATAATGATTACGACCAAACGATGTGTTTTTTTTTCAACCAGTGTTGTTGTGTTTGCCCCTCAGGGCCTGCGTACAGTAAGTAATGCTAAATGATGGCAGACGAGCTGCACTAAGCTTCGTTAGAGACACTCAGGCAAGTGCTTAAAACTAAAACTGAAACGTGTCCAGAAACACCTGGAGATGATCGCTCTCTATTCACCTGATGCTCCCCGGCTCTGTGGAGCTTCTACGTCACCGTTTAATGTGTTGGTTCTCCCTGTTGCAGCGCAAATGCTATTACTTTAGCATAGCGTAGCTAGCTTTAGCTACCTTTTACTTACCAAATAAACTGTTTTTAAGCTTTTAAATGAACTGTTGTTAAGTTATAACAGCTTTTCAGGCAAGAACAAACCATATGTGATTATTTTATCTAAATAAATGTATATTTGAGGTATTACGTTGATGTTTGGAGCTAGCTAGAGAGCAGCCTAAAAAATGCTTAAAACACTTAATCAATGTTTTAATAATGACTCTTTGTCTGAAAGTAGACACTTTAAGGCTAACCATAAGGGGTTAAAAAGTAACTCTTATTTAAATAATGACAGCCACCAATTTGGCCATAGCTAACTATAAAGCTAACATTCGCTAGCTAGCTTGTTGCCTAGCTAGAGAGCTAACACTCGCTAGCTAGCTTGTTAGCGCAGTGTAGCTGTGAATGATCTCTAATTAAACTGCTAATGCTAAACCGGAAGAGCTAACACATTAGCGTTTGAACAGGAAGTGGGGAAAGGGGCGGGGCTTCATGAGGTGAATAGAGACAGATACTGTCTCGGCAACGGTTTCACATTTTACCCTCATCATGTTTGACTGCAGGAGAGACTGTTGTATCTTCTTGCTCCTCATCTGTTGGTTTCATTCTCTGCAGAGTTTCATGTCTTTCTTATTTCTTCAGTTTATCGTCTGTCGCTAAAATGTGGCTACGCTGCATAGATACCTCCTTTAATATCTGCTCAGCTTTCCACTTTAATAACAATACTGCACATATTTTATTATTTGTCAGATCATACGTTTATCTGTATTTCATGTAAATATTTCTCTATTAGAATTTATTTTATCGTTTTTTATAAATGTTGTGATTTTTCTTACCTTTTATCTGTGTTTATGTTTCTGCGTCACACACACACACACACCAAGGCAAACTACTAACATCTGTTTCTACGTCACACACACACCAAGGCAAACTACTAACATCTGTTTCTGCGTCACACACACACACACCAAGGCAAACTACTAACATCTGTTTCTGCGTCACACACACACACCAAGGCAAACTACTAACATCTGTTTCTGCGTCACACACACACCAAGGCAAACTACTAACATCTGTTTCTGCGTCACACACACACCAAGGCAAACTACTAACATCTGTTTCTGCGTCACACACACACACCAAGGCAAACTACTAACATCTGTTTCTGCGTCTCACACACACCAAGGCAAACTACTAACATCTGTTTCTGCGTCACACACACACACACCAAGGCAACTACTAACATCTGTTTCTGCGTCACACACACACCAAGGCAAACTACTAACATCTGTTTCTACGTCACACACACACCAAGGCAAACTACTAACATCTGTTTCTGCGTCACACACACACCAAGGCAAACTACTAACATCTGTTTCTACGTCACACACACACCAAGGCAAACTACTAACATCTGTTTCTGCGTCACACACCACACCAAGGCAAACTACTAACATCTGTTTCTGCGTCACACACACACACCAAGGCAACTACTACACATCTGTTTCTGCGTCACACACACACACCAAGGCAAACTACTAACATCTGTTTCTACGTCACACACACACCAAGGCAAACTACTAACATCTGTTTCTGCGTCACACACACACCAAGGCAAACTACTAACATCTGTTTCTGCGTCACACACACACACAAGGCAAGCTACTAACATCTGTTTCTGCGTCACACACACACCAAGGCAAACTACTAACATCTGTTTCTGCGTCACACACACACCAAGGCAAACTACTAACATCTGTTTCTGCGTCACACACACACACCAAGGCAAACTACTAACATCTGTTTCTGCGTCACACACACACACCAAGGCAAACTACTAACATCTGTTTCTACGTCACACACACCAAGGCAAACTACTAACATCTGTTTCTGCGTCACACACACACACCAAGGCAAACTACTAACATCTGTTTCTACGTCACACACACACCAAGGCAAACTACTAACATCTGTTTCTGCGTCACACACACACCAAGGCAAACTACTAACATCTGTTTCTGCGTCACACACACACCAAGGCAAGCTACTAACATCTGTTTCTGCGTCACACACACACCAAGGCAAACTACTAACATCTGTTTCTGCGTCACACACACACACCAAGGCAAACTACTAACATCTGTTTCTGCGTCACACACACACCAAGGCAAACTACTAACATCTGTTTCTGCGTCACACACACACACACCAAGGCAAACTACTAACATCTGTTTCTGCGTCTCACACACACCAAGGCAAACTACTAACATCTGTTTCTGCGTCACACACACACCAAGGCAAACTACTAACATCTGTTTCTGCATCACACACACACCAAGGCAAACTACTAACATCTGTTTCTGCGTCACACACACACCAAGGCAAACTACTAACATCTGTTTCTACGTCACACACACACCAAGGCAAACTACTAACATCTGTTTCTGCGTCACACACACACCAAGGCAAACTACTAACATCTGTTTCTGCGTCACACACACACCAAGGCAAACTACTAACATCTGTTTCTACGTCACACACACACCAAGGCAAACTACTAACATCTGTTTCTGCGTCACACACACACCAAGGCAAACTACTAACATCTGTTTCTGCGTCACACACACACACCAAGGCAAACTACTAACATCTGTTTCTGCGTCACACACACACCAAGGCAAACTACTAACATCTGTTTTCTGCGTCACACACACACCAAGGCAAACTACTAACATCTGTTTCTGCGTCACACACACACCAAGGCAAACTACTAACATCTGTTTCTGCGTCACACACACACCAAGGCAAACTACTAACATCTGTTTCTGCGTCACACACACACACCAAGGCAAACTACTAACATCTGTTTCTGCGTCACACACACACACCAAGGCAAACTACTAACATCTGTTTCTACGTCACACACACACCAAGGCAAACTACTAACATCTGTTTCTACGTCACACACACACCAAGGCAAGCTACTAACATCTGTTTCTGCGTCTCACACACACCAAGGCAAGCTACTAACATCTGTTTCTGCGTCTCACACACACCAAGGCAAACTACTAACATCTGTTTCTACGTCACACACACACCAAGGCAAACTACTAACATCTGTTTCTACGTCACACACACACACACCAAGGCAAGCTACTAACATCTGTTTCTACGTCACACACACACCAAGGCAAGCTACTAACATCTGTTTCTGCGTCTCACACACACCAAGGCAAACTACTAACATCTGTTTCTACGTCACACACACACACCAAGGCAAACTACTAACATCTGTTTCTGCGTCACACACACACCAAGGCAAACTACTAACATCTGTTTCTGCGTCACACACACACCAAGGCAAACTACTAACATCTGTTTCTGCGTCACACACACACCAAGGCAAACTACTAACATCTGTTTCTGCGTCACACACACACCAAGGCAAACTACTAACATCTGTTTCTGCGTCACACACACCAAGGCAAGCTACTAACATCTGTTTCTGCGTCACACACACACACCAAGGCAAACTACTAACATCTGTTTCTACGTCACACACACACACACACCAAGGCAAACTACTAACATCTGTTTCTGCGTCACACACACACACCAAGGCAAACTACTAACATCTGTTTCTGCGTCACACACACACCAAGGCAAACTACTAACATCTGTTTCTGCGTCACACACACACACCAAGGCAAACTACTAACATCTGTTTCTGCGTCTCACACACACACCAAGGCAAGCTACTAACATCTGTTTCTGCGTCACACACACACCAAGGCAAACTACTAACATCTGTTTCTGCGTCACACACACCAAGGCAAGCTACTAACATCTGTTTCTGCGTCACACACACACACCAAGGCAAACTACTAACATCTGTTTCTACGTCACACACACACACACACCAAGGCAAACTACTAACATCTGTTTCTGCGTCACACACACACACCAAGGCAAACTACTAACATCTGTTTCTGCGTCACACACACACCAAGGCAAACTACTAACATCTGTTTCTGCGTCACACACACACACCAAGGCAAACTACTAACATCTGTTTCTGCGTCTCACACACACACCAAGGCAAGCTACTAACATCTGTTTCTGCGTCACACACACACACCAAGGCAAACTACTAACATCTGTTTCTGCGTCACACACACACCAAGGCAAACTACTAACATCTGTTTCTGCGTCACACACACACCAAGGCAAACTACTAACATCTGTTTCTGCGTCACACACACACCAAGGCAAGCTACTAACATCTGTTTCTACGTCACACACACACACACACCAAGGCAAACTAACATCTGTTAAACTACTCGGTCAAACCTTCTCTTTCTCTAGTTTTTAATAGTTTTCTGATTTCTCTTTCAGTTTATTGTCTGTTGCAAAAAGGAGAACTACAAAGAGACACAATAGAGAGACGAAGTCCGGCCCATCTACTTCCGCCCCATGGGACCTTATTTCGGAAAAAATATGTATTGAAGTCAATGGAGAGAGAAAGATTATCTCTCGATCCCGTTTGAATTGTGCCATGAATTACACATATGATGTTTGACAATCTTAAATAATAATTTCCATGTCAAAAAAGTCACAGTTTGTCGTAAAACTGTTGAAATATAAGACTATGAAAAATAGGCAACTAGAAAGACTACAAATCCCAGAGTCCCGGTCCCGCATGCTGGCTCTTAGGAACCGACTCACTCCCCTTGTGTGTATGCACAGCTCTCAACACGCCCAGACTTGGAGTGATTTTCACCTCTTTTAATACTTTCCGCCTCATTCTGAAAGAAAGAAGTGAGATGTGCCAACGTGACGGCCGTCTGGGTGTGTGGTGCGAGACGGGAGATGGAGTTCATTGAGCGGTTTCACACAAACAAAGTGTTACTTCACAGTTTTACGACACATTTTTATTTTTTTGACTTGTAAAATTATCTTTTAGATTGACAAACATCATATGTGTAATTCATGGCACAATTCAAACGGGATCGAAAGATAATCTTTCTCTCTCCATTGACTTCAATGCATACTTTTTCAGAAATAAGGTCCCATGGAGGAAAGGGAGGGACTTCACCTCTCTATAGAACTACAAAAAGATACATTTAATTGTTGTAGTTCTCTCGTATCTTTTTGTATCTTTTTGTAGATATGGCTTTAGATACCTCTTATCTGCACAGCTTTCCACTTTAATAACATAACTACACACATGTCATTTTTCAGAGTAGCTTGTTGTTAAATACGTTACGTAGTTTTTTTCGTGAAAATATTTCTCTATATTTCCATTTTTTTTTATAGTTTTTTCTTTTACATTTATTTATTTTTTTGGTCATTTTTCTTCCCTTTTAAAACGAGTTGGTGATAAACCTGATTCCTCTTTCTTTCTCTACGTTGTGGTCTGTTGCACAACATACTTTACATCTGTACTTCATGTAAATACAGATGTAAATGTTTATTTCTTGGTCATTTTGCTGACCTTATGTTTCTGCTCCAAACACACCAAGACACACTCCTCGTATCTAATGAACCTCTAGTTTCTGTTTCATTGCTCAAACGTCCCTCTCTTTGTCGTGCATCTGTCTCACGTCTCGCCCTCTTTGGGTTTCTTACCTTTTTTTTAATGTTTCTGCTCCAAACACACCAAGACACACTCCTCATATCTGTTAAGCTAGTCGGTGAAAAGCCTGTTTCTGGTCTGTTGCATTGCTCAAACGTCCCTCTCTTTGTTGTCCGATAGGTCTCACGTCTCCCCCTTTTTGGGTCATTTCTCTTACCCTTTTTATGTTTCTGCACCACACACCATTGGGTCATTTTTCATGTATATATATATCTGTTAAACTAGTCAGTGAAAAGCCTGTTTCTGGTCCTATGCATTGCTCAAACGTCCCTCTCTTTGTTGTGCATGACTCCAATATGTCGTCTGTCACGTCTTTCCCTTTTTTGTATGTTTCTGCACCAAACACAGCAGGCCAAACTCCTCCCATCTGTTCAACTAGTCAGTAAAAAGCCTGTTTCTGCTCTGTTGCATTGCTCCAACGTGCCTCTCTGTGTTTTCTGAGTCTCACGTCTGCCCCTGTCTCTGGTGTTGTGTTCAGGCACCATCACGCCGCCTGTTGGCTCGTTCTGATTGGCTACCTGCTGGACCTGGCCGACGGAGCCGTTGCCAGGCGGCTGGGAGCCTGCTCTGCTCTGGGTGAGTGGGGAGGGGGGAGGAGAGAGAGGAGAGAGAGGAGACAGACAGAGAGAGACGGGAGGGAGAGACGGGGGAGGGAACGGAAAAGGAGGAGGAAAAAGGGACGGGGGAGGGAAATGGGACGGGGGAGGGAAATGGGACGGGGGAGGGAAATGGGACGGGGGAGGGTTGGATGAGGGAGGAAAACGGGGACAAGGCTTTTATTGTCATGTGTACTGAGCTACAGTTTAGATATATCAATGAACATCTGAGGTCACAGACTCCTCATACATATCTATCTATCTAGATATAGATATAGATTGCGGATGGATGTTATGGATGTTCTTTCCAAAGTTCAGGTGTTTAATAGGCAACAGGGAAGGAAACAGAGATCGGGGGAGGAAAGGGCGAAGGAAACGGGGGTGGAGAAAGAGAAGGAAACGGGGGTGGAGAAAGAGAAGGAAAGGGGGAGGAGTCGAGGCTTGTATTGTCACGTGTGCACAGCTACAGCTACAGAGCAGAGATATCAATGAAGGGCTGAGAGAATTAGAGCAGAGTTAAAAATAGAAGCTGTGGCATCAATGGGAGCTTTTCTAAATCCTGTTAGTCAGAATTCAATCTGTCACTAAGTCTGGTTCACATCTAAAGACACGGTTACGTCTAGAGGACAGAAACCACTGAGTCAGAGTGAACGTTAGCCGACACGTTTATTCCTTTGAAAACAAAGGATTCAAGGCTTTTATCGTCACGTGTGCAGAGCGACAGCGCAGATATATCAAAGTACATCTGAGGCTCCTCCCACTCAACAAAACAGACCAATCAGTGCAAGTTAATACAGATCACATAGAAACAGATGGATGTTCTGTCACAAGGTCAGGTGTTTCACCCCCCCCCCCCATCCCCAGCTCCTAAAAGAGAATGAAAAGACTCCAAATGTGATGAAGCTGGATGTTCACTTTAAACGTTACTTATCAACTTTTAAATGCATATCATGGTCGATAGGGGGAGGGTCTGTCATGAGTTTAAATCCAGTTTGAGGAATATTTTGGCCACGAATGCATCACGCATGGATAGGTTTTTACTGATTTACTAAAAGTTAATAAACATTTTGAAGAAGCTGTTTCTAAAGTGGCATCGCAGCCTGAGATCTGACGGAGGCTCGCTTTGCTCCGATAACATCTCCTGGTGTTATGGAACTAAGCCATCAGCTCCTAAATGAGTATTCAAAGTATTCGGATCTAAAGATGGTAGTTTTAAGAGGCATTCACTTCAAACGTTACTTATGCACTATTAAATGCATATCCTTTCATGAGTTCAAATCCAGTTTGAGGAACATTTGGTCGATATTTTGGCCAAGAAGTCGAGATGCACGAGGTGTAAACTGCAGGTTCAAATAAAGTCTAAAACATGTCTTGAATGGCAGCAGATGAGTTTGCAGCGTCCAGTGGAAACTCCCAGCACGTGAGATCTGAACGGAGGCTTGTTTTGCACCGATAAGACATTCTGGTGTTATGGAAATAAACTGCGAGGCTCCCGTGTGAAAGTGGACATTCTCCCGAAATAGCTCCAGGTGCACGCCCCCCCCCCCCCGCGTCACGTGACCCTCCTTTGTGTCCGAGCTGTTTGTTCGGCATGCCTCTGCAGCTGGATGTTGTTTTGCAGAATGAACAATTGTTTGAATCACCTTTTAAATTCCACGGCGTCGCGCTTCGATTGTCCGTCTGATCCCTTCGCTCTTATCCGCGCTGCATTCCTGGCATTCCAGAGATGTTTGACCTCCGGTGGGGGGGGGGGCTTCCTGCTGGTCACCTAACCCTCGGACACATGTTGCCGGATAAAGAGGCGCGGCGAGGGAATGTGGTTTATTGAATTTATTGAATCGCTGCCCGTCGGGCTGACGCGGAAATTCCACTTTGGAAAACTGTGGCAGCCAGAGGAGCGCCGGGTGCAGTGACGGCTACCCTCAGCATGGGTTCAGCTGCTTATATTTGGGTTTAAAACGGCAAGAAATAAGTAAGATACAAGATTTCAAGGCATTCTCATCATGAGCTCAGCAGCTTCAGGAGATATGTCAATGAAAAGCGTAAGGCTCCTCCAACAGTGCAACATGAATATCTATAGGACATAGAACAGATGAAACGGATCAAATAGTGCAAGAGAATGTCAAGAAATGTCAATTTATTAAAGTCAATAGGCTTCAAATGTCTTGTTTTGCACAACCCCAAAGTCGCAGAGTCCAAGTTTATGTTATATTCACTTTCATATAAAAGCAAGAAATCTACAGATATTTTGCTTTTTCTGAGATTTCTGCATTTCAAAGATGTTTTAATCAATTTAAAAAATACTTTTCTATCAATATCAGATCTTCTGGAGCCATTTGAGATCCTGTACAGATGAATAAAGAATAAAAAAACACATTTACTACGACTTCATTCTACCTTTTCTGTCAAATATACACACCACCCTTCAATTATTATTCAAATCAGACTGCTTTATTTTAAAATAAGATATTTATTCAACATATACAATCTTACAGCTTGTTTTGCTGCAGTAAAGCACTGAATACTCACTAAAATATTAATTAAAACAATAAATAAATGCAGATAGTTTAAACATTTCTTTTGCTTTTATTAAAGATGGAAAATTCAGAACAAATAGGTCCAATAACTCACTGCAGCTTTCCTGCACAGACGCTCTAGAAACACACAGTGAGGACTTTTCAAGATAAAAGCATGTTGATTCAGTTTAAAAACAACTCTGAGATGTTTGCTCTGAGGGTCGTGTGTCTCTGGCAGCGTGATAACATTCCTCTGACTCTAATAGAATATAAACTCATGACTAAATGCTGTGGGAATTAGAGCAGAGTTAAAAATAGAAGCTGTGGCATCAATGAGAGCTTTTATAAATCCCTTTCTTCAGAATACAATCAGTCACTAAGTCTGCTAGTGTTTTATATCTAATGACATTGTTACGTCTAAGGCAGCGGTTCCCAACCTGTGGTCCGCGAAGGCATGCAAGTGGGCTGCCAAAATAAAAATAAAATGGGCTAAATAATAACATATAGGAGATGACATTCCCATCTCAGACAAAAACAAAACAAAACCTGGAGGGAGACAATCAGGGGAAGAGGGGGAGAGAGAGACACACGAACAAACCACGGCACGTAACAATTTCACAAACAAATAGGTTGACAACCAAATACCACCAAAAACACAACATGGCATATTTATTGTTCCTTTAATCCCACTCTTCGTTAGAGCTCATTATTTCCCATTTCATGGCGTGTTGAGCCTTTGATTTTTTGTGGCAATAATTGTATCCATAATAAATTGTATTTTTAATCTACTCTTCAAACACCTTAAATTTAGATTACTCCTTGATTGACTTTTAAAAATATGTATTTTAGCCAGAAGAATAGTTGTATTTATTAACTGTGTGCGGTCTTCATCTAAAAGCCCAAATAAAATATTAAAGGGTATAAATGAAATATTTGCCGCCAAAATAATTTGCAAAAATTATGATTTGTGTGGAAATATTTTCATTTTTAAGATTTATTTTATTTTAACCTGTTTTCCTTTCTCTTTCTCGATCCTCCTTAGCAACAGTCATTACAGTCCTTAGCAACGGTCATTACAGTCCTTAGCAACAGTCCTTAGCATCGGTCATTACACTCCGTAGCAACGGTCATTACAGTCCTTAGCAACTGTGATTACAGTCCTTGGCAACGGTCAGTACAGTCCTTGGCAACGGTCAGTACAGTCCTTAGCAACGGTCAGTACAGTCCTTAGCAACGGTCATTACAGTCCTTAGCAACAGTCCTTAGCAACGGTCATTACAGTCCTTAGCAACGGTCATTACAGTCCTTAACAGCGGTCATTACAGTCCTTGATTTATTTTATTTTAACCTGTTTTCCTTTCTCTTTCTCGATCCTCCTTAGCAACAGTCATTACAGTCCTTAGCAACGGTCATTACAGTCCTTAGCAACAGTCCTTAGCATCGGTCATTACACTCCGTAGCAACGGTCATTACAGTCCTTAGCAACTGTGATTACAGTCCTTGGCAACTGTGATTACAGTCCTTAGCAACGGTCATTACAGTCCTTGGCAACGGTCAGTACAGTCCTTGGCAACGGTCAGTACAGTCCTTAGCAACGGTCATTACAGTCCTTAGCAACGGTCATTACAGTCCTTAGCAACAGTCCTTAGCAACGGTCATTACAGTCCTTAGCAACGGTCATTACAGTCCTTAGCAACGGTCATTACAGTCCTTAGCAACGGTCATTACAGTCCATAGCATCGGTCATTACAGTCCTTAGCAACGGTCATTACAGTCCTTAGCAGCGGTCATTACAGTCCTTAGCAACGGTCATTACAGTCCTTAGCAACGGTCATTACAGTCCATAGCATCGGTCATTACAGTCCATAGCATCGGTCATTACAGTTTTTAGCAACGGTGATTACAGTCCTTGGCAACGGTCATTACAGTCCTTGGCAACGGTCATTACAGTCCTTAGCAACGGTCATTACAGTCCTTAGCAACAGTCCTTAGCAACAGTCCTTAGCATCGGTCATTACAGTCCGTAGCAACGGTCATTACAGTCCGTAGCAACGGTCATTACAGTCCTTAACAGCGGTCATTACAGTCCTTGGCAACGGTCATTACAGTCCATAGCATCGGTCATTACAGTCCTTAACAGCGGTCATTACAGTCCTTAGCAACGGTCATTACAGTCCTTAGCAACGGTCATTACAGTCCATAGCATCGGTCATTACAGTCCTTAGCAACGGTCATTACAGTCCTTAACAGCGGTCATTACAGTCCTTAGCAACGGTCATTACAGTCCTTAGCAACGGTCATTACAGTCCATAGCATCGGTCATTACAGTCCATAGCATCGGTCATTACAGTTTTTAGCAACGGTGATTACAGTCCTTAGCAACGGTCATTACAGTCCTTGGCAACGGTCATTACAGTCCTTAGCAACAGTCCTTAGCATCGGTCATTACAGTCCTTGGCAACGG